TCTCCTGCCTTCTCCAAACTCTTCACCCTTTTGTAAATAACCCTGTACATTTCTAGTTTTAGATCAAGTGGAGAAGGGCTGAAACTTCTGTACAATTTGTATTGTCCCCACTGGGGAGATTCTCACCTTTTCTATTCGTATTTGTGTGACTATGATCACTGGAACTGGAAGTGAGGGAAAATCCAACATTTTACCAGAACGGAGATAGAAAGGAAATCTTCCAATAAAGACTCCTGTTACAGTGGTAGCTGTCTGAGAGGGCATTTCCCTCTCATTAGAGAGGTTTCCTTTCACTTCCCCTTGTGTCTACGGGACAGGAAATTAACAACAATCTCCTCAATGTGACACAAAAGGCAAAAAATAAATTCTACCAACTTTACCAATAACTAAAAAAAGGATGTTTGGGCTTTAGGAATACGGAGTGGACATCCCCTAATAGCACCTGTTTAGCCCACGAAAGGCTCTGTTTATTTAAATGAAGTCAAACATTTAGGGCCCATTATAATTTGTGCATTGCCTCCGCAAATGTTATGTCTTGTGTCACATTGGCAGCCCAATCATTTAATTTGAAAAGGGTTCGAAATGATGGGCGCCAATCAAGTGTCCATAAAAGGTTTAATGTTTAGAATTCAATCAAATCAATAAAATAGCCAATGCATTTCGAGGGCAAACACATCCTCCTTCTTTAGGGCTTACAACAATGCAGTTGAAAATGGAAGACTAAGAACAGTAATACCCAGATACATCTTTGTATATTACTCTTGGGGGTGGGGTACAATTAGTGGAAAGCCTAACACACCAAAAAGCAGGAAGAAAAGTGTCCCATTTTGCAATGTAGAAAACCACAAGTATAATAACCGCAGGGGAGTTGGAAAGGTGTGTTGGGGTGCCATTCCGAATGCATGGAGCAGACAAAATCCGGAGTAGTTGTTCATGGCAACCAATCAACTTCTATCTTTTATTTACAAAGCTTTACTGAACAAAATGAAGAGAGAAAATGATTGGTTACTATGGGCAACTGCTACAAATTCCATTTGCTCCAGTTTTGATGCATTCCCCCCAGTGAGTTGACATTGTGTTGTGTTCCGTATTGGAGAATGCAAGTTGAAGTATCAACTTTCTTTGTGGAAAATTATGACAATTACAGCGGACGGTCGTTTTAAAGACTATGGAGAGAGAACATTAACTAGAAGCAGGCACATTCCTGAATAAAAGAAAAAAAAAAAGATGAAACAAGGATGACTTGAAATAAACACCATTAGTTCTGACGAAATAGAAAAAACATACAAATAAAGCTTTGTGAAATTGCGCAGCCGTTCCTGATTTTGTAGCTGCTGAGATAATTAGTAAGCTGTCTTTCCCACAAAGAGAATTAATTAGAGCAAGAAAGAATCCGGCGCAAACAAAGCATACCGGCAAACCTATGAATACTATAGTGGGTTGCAGAGCTGCCACTAATGTATCATTATGCTGCACAATTTATGACACCATCAATGACTGTCATAGACAAAAAAAATGTATTCCAGCAGACAAATTGCCCAATGCTGAGAAAGATAATTGGAAATGTTAAAGACTAAAGAGAAATGACTCATTGAGAAAAAAGGGTCGTCTCACACGCAGTGTCTCTTTTATTTTCACAGTTATTTATCCCAGTATGTTTAAGGATCAAAAAAAGTAAACATAAAAGAATGTCTAAAAAAAATGCAATTCTTTAACTTTTTTCAAGGTTTCTTTAGTGTTTGTAAATAATTCAGTTGGCACTAATAAAGCAAGTGCAGGCTTCACATCTCCTGTTTAAAGTAAACTTGTCATGACAGTTATGGGGGCTGACCTCTGTGAGAATTATAGTCCCCTGTTTGTGGTTCTGATCCACTAGTTTAGAGTAGATTTAAAGCCAAAACTTTTTTCTTAGTTTTGGATAGTTTAGGGAAGGATTACAACCCCTGTATTTTGTTCTCTGTGTCCATGAAGAGGTTTGCCTTCACCCTCTGTCCCGTAGACACAACAGAAAACAAGAGAACATCGTTCCAGAGTGAGGGAAATCCCCTCTTGGACAATTGTCACCGCAATTGTCCCCTATAGAGGACTTCCTCTATATTCCTGCTCTAAGGACAAAGCTCAAAGTGTTGGATTTCCCCCACTTTCAGTCCTGCTGACAATGGTTACTAGGAATGATAGAGATAGTGATTCTCATCAGTGGGGTCACAGTCAGCATTAAAAACTTGGTTTTGTGTGTGTGAGGTGCTGCATCTTTCATTCATGATGTTTTGGGGTTAAGGAAAATCTTTTTAATTTGTAGAATTAGCACTGGTGTAGCTTGCTCTCTTGAATCAAGATGCCCTTTGTTACTGACCTTAAAACAAAGTATGGTAGAAAATAATAGAAAAAGTCTGAAGATGCCCAGCATTGTCAGAAGGTGAAATCAGCGATCCCTGTCTCCATGTTTCTCTCATGACAGGTCTGCTTTCATGATAAGTTGGCAGGCAGTACAGGACATATGCTCACAAACCTGTGTTATTTTGAAGTGGAACTTCAGCCAAATGGCTACATATACAGTTCAAATAAAACTTTTTTTAACCTACCCACATAGTTGTGTAATACCATCGCTAAAGAGGCCACTTTAGCATGATTATTACATGTAAACCCAATTATTAAAAATTCATATCATCTTTAATATGTAATTGTCATTGTTTTAAATCTGTATCATTTTCTTCTTTTTGCCACTCTTGTCTGGAGGGTATTTCTAGTTCAGCAATAATCTTGAATACACTATGGGGGGAATTTATCATGGCAATTGCGAGTGTTTGAACTCGCATATGGTCACATGGGATATACAGTATCTCACAAAAGTGAGTACAGGCAGCACTCATATGTCTATTTCCCAAAGACAACCTCTGGATATGACGCTGAGCACGTGCACTCAACTTCTTTGGTCGACCATGGCGAGGCCTGTTCTGAGTGGAACCTTTTCTGTTAAACCGCTGTATGGTCTTGGCCACTGTGCTGCAGCTCAGTTTCAAGGTCTTGGCAATCTTCTTATAGCCTAGGCATCTTTATGTAGAGCAGGTGTGTTATGTAGAGTAACACACCTGCTCCCCATTCACACCTGAGACCTTGTAACACTAGCGAGTCACATGACATCGGGGAGGGAAAATTGCTAATTGGGCCCAATTTGGACATTTTCACTTAGGGGTGTACTCACTTTGTTGCCAGTGGTTTAGACATTAATGGCTGTGTGTTGAGTTATTTTGAGGGGACAGCAAATGTACACTAATATACAAGCTGTACACTCAATACTTTACATTGTAATTTCTTCAGTGTCGTCACATGAAAAGATATAATAAAATATTTACAAAAATGTGAGGGGTGTACTCATTTCGGTGAGATACTATATTTGCACCAGATTTATGTTTCTAGTGTAATGTTGTTCATAAATGAGATTAAATAGACTCCAGGAAAGAAGATTCGCAACTCCAGGCAAAAAGCTTAACGTCCGCTTCTTGAAAGAAGTGGTCATCGCTTAAGTAGCGATTGTTTTGTTCGGTGATGTTCCAGTTTCAGACAGCCGCAGGACAAGTGCAAATGTAAACCGTTGCGAACTTTCGCAAAACACGCACAATCGTTCAAAACAGGCGCACACTTTAAAAGGAGCACCTAAACACATTTGCACATTGAAAACATTATTTAAGAGGCTAAAACTGTATAGTTGCTTTGAAAAATTCCCCACTATATGTTTGAGATCTACCTGCACATGCAAGACAAAGTACGAGGTCCACATTAATGCCTGCCTTATTTCCCAGCTTCCCCCACATACACTCCCCTTCCATTCTCTCCTCTGCCAATTTGTTTGCCATGGGAAGTGAAGCAAAATGGGAATGGGGATTACCTGACTCACTCCCTGTCCTCTCAGGTGACAGTGCTGGTGCTTGGTAAGTGGCCTAGCACTGTCACACAGGGGTGAGGAGGGAATCCTCAGCCCTGTGTAATGAGCCCCAAATGGGATCAACTAATTCATGGTTTCATCTGCGCATGCTCCCAGAAGCAAAGAGCCAAGAAAGCGAGGGGAAGTAACCATTACATGTTGAATGTGGCTTCAAGGTGAACATGTTGTTTTGTCCATGCAGGTTCTCTTTAACGTCTATTGGGGACCGTGAATTTCAAGGACCCCAAACAGATTGCCCTATTTTATTTGTTATGCTTTCCAAATTGTTAAATGCAACAAATAAATGGTAACGTGCATTAGACTGTGCATCGATATGCTATGTTTATAGAGAATCTGGCAGTTCTCACAAAATTTAAGTTTGACCCCACTACTTAAATGCAGTCACCATAGCGTGCATGCAAGTACCTATGTTCTCCTACAAACTTTTCTCTGTGTGTCTGGGAAGCCCTCCAATTCCAAGAGCCCCATGAACAGTGACACCCCCCCTACTTCAGCTTAGATTCTCCAACCTACCTATAAACTTCACTGATAAAAATGGACCATTAACAGTGACACCTTTGGTTTGAAGGTTATGGGGAAGGGCTGAATAAACATTCTGCACCATAACCATTCATGTACAGTATATGCCAGAGGTTGGACTGATAAGACATCCTCCAACAGCCAGATCAAAGCTACAAGTCAGACTATTCTCTAATGTCTATAAGCCACTCACATACAGCATTTGTATGCTATTTTCAGATGCAATGTTTAATGGCCTTTAAAAGCTGTTTTAAACAGATCACACAGTCGTACTTAAGCAATACAATAAACAAAGCAGCACTTATTTTCCATATTTGCTGATACTGTAATTTAGCATATTCAAGGAAAATATCCTGTTGTGTAATTACAAATGTGAGGAACCAGAATGGTTGATAAATTGGATCCATTTTCTCACTCTTCTTCTGTCTTCAGTACTCTGCAGGTTTACCCCAGACTGCGGAATGTGCTCTGACTCTTGCTAAACTGACAGCAAGACAAGTGTATGTAATAAAATAATGGTATTGTTGCTGTTTTGCAGTGTCTGCTTCATTTGAGGGAAAGCAGCATCTCCTCAGCCTGCCTGTTGTGAACAGCATAGGGTATGTCCTGCGCTTCCTAAAAAAGCTCTGCCGCAGTCTGATCTGTGACAATCTGTTCAGCAATCAGCCCTTTGTACAGTACAGCACCACCTCAGACAACCCTAAGGAATATGACACTGGCAGGATGGAGACAGGTAAGTCGCACATTTCAAAGAATCCCTGTTAGTGACTTGTAGTGGTGGACAAGTGGTGAATCAGTGAATTGCATTTTCTTTTTATTCACCTATATATGCATGCAGTTTTGCCCAACCTACAGATATTATTGCAATTCATGGATCACAATTGCATGGGTTCTTTAACCTCATCTGCAGATTGAGCCAGGTCAGCATGCAGATTTTTAAAGCTGAACTCCAGGCACAAAACCTGTCATTTAAATATGTTCCTGAATAGCTACAAAAGCTATAAATCCACTTTGTGTGCACCAGATGCCTTTGCAAACCCAGATATTGCAAGTGCATTAGCAGTGACACAATCACTGTGCTGTACATAGTCTGTGCAGAGAGCAGAGGTGTGGGAGGGGCCCAACAGGCCCTCCCACTACAAGCTGCCTACAAATTACAAGGGGGCGGATACAAGACCAGTCACCTTGCAGAAGGAAGAAGAGCAGCAGTGACTGGTCTTTATTACTGGAAGACATATACAAAGCACATCAAGATTACCCAGAATACACATGGATCTTGCATTTAAACAGTATTCAGGATCTTGCATTTAAACAGTATTTGCTTATCTGGGTGTTCAGCTTTAATGTGTACCTAAAGCCAAACCTTTTTTTTTTCCATTTTGGATACAGTGGTGAGAGAGTTAAAATCCATATTAATCCAACATTTTAAAGTTGACACCAAAACAGAAATAGAGGTGAAATCTTCCTATTAGGACAATGTTCCTCACTTTGGGGAGATTACCTCTCACTTCTTGTTGTATCTTAAAGGGTTAATGCCAACTGCACATGCGCAATCTGCTTTCGCTTTTCCTGGCAAAACGCTGAGAAAACAGCTTGACTGAAAACAGATGTGCGCTTAGCAAGTCAAGTTCTCCTATCCGAGTGTTTTTTTTATGAGGAACTGGGCCGCAAATCTGACGGGCAATCCTGCATTGTAGTTCTAATGTATTTCTGTGACCCAAAGTCAGCAGATAGTGGACTTCTGCCCACTATATGCTGACAGCACAGAGCCATGCTGCAGTTGGAAAAGATAGCGACAATATTGCTGGGATCCTCCCACTGCCTGATTGACAGCTGGCTCTGCCTCTCTAGCTAGCTGTGCGCACCCCCTCCCCCATCTGTCTTTCCAATGAGCGCTGGAGGAACAGAAAGGAGAGGGGGAAATCCCTGTGGGGAGCGATGACCGACGATCACTACGCTCTGCAGGAAGAAGATTATGAGCTGAGTGATCACTGGTTACGTGATTGCTCAGCTATTAGTATCAAGAGTTGGCACATGACAGCTGCAGTGTCCCTTGCTGGTTCTAAGTATTTGGAGAGAGTATATTTTACTCTCCCAAAACTTCTCCATTAATAAAAGTATGCATATTTTTTAAAAACAGAAAGCAGCATTTTTTTAATGCATTGTAAGATATAATGTGAATGGATTTTAGGAAAAAAAACCTTAAAAGTGAATGAACCCTTTAAGAACATAAGGTAAAAATACATTTTTACAATGGGATGCAAAGGTTTTAACCCTCCCTACTCTATTCAAAATAAGGCTTTGGCTTTAGATCTACTTTAGGCAAATCAAGAATTAGCCAAATCAGCAATTCTTCTGATCAAATCGATATCAAAATTTTGTACCAATAAATATATGTATTATCATACCAAGCACATAGCAGGCACACTTAACTAAAATTCATCTTTTGGGATAGAAATAAGGGAGCTGCTGTTGCCAACTTGTTATTAAAGATGCATGCTCCAGAGCAGTCATCTTGATCCTTACTTTATTACCTAGTGAGTCATTGAGTTGGAACAAGCATTTGGTGTCTGTCACCTGAAACACACAAGCTTTATATGTGCAAGCTGTTCCAGGTCAGTGGTTTGCCAAATAATAAAGGAAACTTTCAGTATCACAGCTCTGGAGAATGCATCTTTACAAGCATGTCAGCAATAGCAGCTCCCACATTACCATCCTAACAGGTCCCTTTTAACAATAACATTGAGGATGATTTACTAAGGAAGAGTTAAGATTCTCTCAAGTTATTCAATCATGTGCAGATAAATAAATAATCAAGAATTTGCTTTTCACATGATTGAAGTGAATCTTTTTTTTGTGTATGTGAACATTCTCAACTCCTTTAGTAAATCAGCTGCAAAGTCTTGCATTATGAAGTAGTTTAGTAAACAAAGGCACATGGAAATTACCCTGTAAGAGGATGTTGAAACTATTGAACACATTTCATTGTATTTGTGTTTGAAATGTGCATTACAAGGTACCACCAAAATATCTACCATTACCTATGAAAATGTGAAATTCTTTGGGCTGAGTATAATCTCAAATGTATGCCAGTTCAGTAGGCTGAGCAAGTGTATGATTGCATTATGGTAAATATAAATGTTTTAGTGCCTTAATATATATAAATAAAACTTCCTGTGACTAACTTGCCAGAATTTAGTGCCTGTAGGAAGAGCTAATCTAGTTGCCTGCAGCATACAGTTAGATTTTAAATCCTATATTGCATACATGAATGGTAAAAGCTAAATTGGTGGCTAGATGCTCGAAGATCATCTATCCCTTCATAAGTTTTAACTATAACATCTAATATACTGATCAATGGACAGACGGATGGTGTACACACATATATGATGTATGCCTGATGTAGCTTTCTAGCCAATCAGTTTGATTCTCAGCAGTTATTTGTTATAGTCAAACAGGCAAGACCTGTTAACTCTTTGGAAAAACAGTCAACTGTCCTTAATTTATTTGGTGTGTATTTAGCTAAAATGGATCAAGGAATAAACATTTGGAAAAATAATTACACATCATTGTTTAACATCTAGAGTTTATTTCACATGGGCAAATGCTTTGTTCAACATTACTATGCAATTTGCTTGTTCATATTCAAGCAGTGGTGTATCTCTTAGCAGAAACTGTCATACCAGAAGATTACCTGGTGGACCCTGTCAATACAAAGCGATACAGTGTTGATCCTTCTGATTCTGCCTACAACTATATGAGTTCCCTTTATCCTGGAAGACAAAGCAATGGTGAAGGACGCCTGGGCAGTGGAGGAAGCTCTTCATGCAATCACCGGTCCAGTCAGATGTCTTCAGTAGGTCAAGCATCAGCAGGCTTAAGACGCCAAACATCAAGTCCCACGAGGAGCGGAAGTTACCTTGAGGGAAACAGAAGTGGTAACAAAGCAAACCTTTTTCTTACCTAAATAGTAAATAGATAAGTAATTATGAATAGAAAATACCAAATTTGTTATAAAACCCTCTCCTTCTTTAAGTTTATTTGTACATGAAAATCTACTACTATGTTGTGTAAAGATAAAAAGCCAACCAGGCAATGTGAAATGCTGTGCCTTATTGCCTCACTACACTTGCCTATAAGCTATCTAACCCTATGAGTCATATCTGCTGAGTTATATTTACCCTGGAGCAAACTGACATGAACACTGTCACAGATAGATTCTTGTTTTTAGTTTTCTGACTATTTGGCTTGATCGTGTGACATCGGTAAGAATCCTTTTAGATGATGTCCGGAACAATGAAGGTGTATAACACACTGTTATTGTCAGCAAAGATAGTTTACCACTGAACAGATTTTATTTATATAATAACTGTGTTCCTTAAAGTAAAATGCAGCCATAAAATGGTGGTCGGGTGTGTGGGAATGATCCAACCACCAAAGATCTTTCATATGAAAGACACTAATGAATGTATTCTTCTCCCAGAAAGGCCAAGGTACTGTATGTCTGTCAAGGTCAAGAGTATATATAAACCTCTGATTGTTCTCCAATATCTTTGCAACCAGCCACATCTAGTGAAGTTCTATCTGTAGGGAGCTTAAGTTAAGTGTTGTTAAGACAAATGCTTATTTTTCTTAAGTAGTTACCTCCATAATTTGCTGAATAATCCCCTGTACTATACCGGTTCTTGTGTGTTTCAGTTTTATATTAAATAAATCCTATTATGCACTGACTCAGTATTTAAAGCTGAACTCCGGGCTCAAAAATGTTTATTCATAAAATACTCCTTAGCAGCCACAAAGGATATAAATCCACTTTATGGCCACCTAATGCCTATGCAAACCTAATTGCAGTGCTATCATCACTGTGCTGCATAGAAGCAGAGCTGTGGAAAGGGAAGCAAGTCCACAAGGGCCACCTACTACAGGCTGTCTGCAGAAAACTACAGGAGGGGGTGGATACAAGACCAGTCACCCTGTAGGGGGTGGATACAAGACCAGTCACCCAGCACAAGTAGAGAGATCAGCAGTGATTGGTCTTTATTATAGGAAGCTCCTGCATTATTAAAAAGTTTCACACTGGATTACTGCACAGATCTGGAAGCATACACGTAAGAATAATCATTCCTCTTTTTTTTTAGACAATACCTGCTCATCTCGGAATTCAGCTTTAAGCTTTATTAATCAAAATGAAGAGTTTACACTATGCACAAAAATCAGCCTGATTTGTCAGTAGATTTCCTTCTTTACAGCCTCAAGCCCTTCCCCGGAGAACCAGGAGACCATACGGCCATCTAGTAAAGATCCCTCCAATTGGACTGTGGAAGATGTTGTCTGGTTTGTGAAGGATGCTGACCCACAGGCATTGGGCCCACATGTTGACCTCTTTCGAAAACATGTATGTGAGCAATTCAAAAAATAACTTGTCTTTATGAAATGGTAGCACAGAAATGAGCAGGGTATTGCTGCATAGAGAAATTATCTGTATGTGTGGAACGATCAGATGTACACACAACAAAGCTGATTGCAGAGAAGCATCAAGGAAGGCAAAGCATGACACTGATCATGAAACACATGATGCACTTCTCTCTGATGCTTGTCTCTTATCTGTTCAAGGTTGGCTCAGTATGGATAACAAATATGCTGCTCCTTACAGAGTTTCAGCCCACTGTGCAGTATGTCCTCGCCCTGCATCGCTCTTATGTGTCTTTCCAAATTTGGTGTTAGAGAATCACCTGCACACCATACAGCGCTTGAACCAAATTAAATATCTGTTGGTGCTGGAAATGACAACACGGATTGCGCCGTGTAACAATCCAAGTAAAGATAGTAGTCACCAGCACTCACTTTTAATGTGCAAAAAGGTTAGCACTTTTATTGATATGTCACGACATCGTGACTAGTCACGATGTCACCCTGATGAAGGGACCCTGCGTGGCCCCGAAACTTGACGCATGTGACATATTAAATAAAATTCCTATCCTTTTTGCACATTACTGGTGCTGGTGACTACTATCTTTTTAAATTTGATGACACAATGAAAGCCTAAACATTTTTCCATAATATGTGATGAAGAGAATGCTCTGTTTAGTTAAAACCCAAGTAAACCCTCAATATTTATAATGTAATGCAATCAGGCTACCTATACAGTAATAAACATTCAGCACTTCTACTTTAACTGTAAAGTGCTGTAGAAGATAGCCACATTAAACTTGTAATGTTGACCAAGTTTCACCGCTTATCCTCAGTTCTGCTGTTGCACTGTTATGTATCCTTTGCCTTTGAAGAAGTTGTTTTAAAGTATTTCCCAGTCAACATGGTTAAAATCCATTTTCTTGGACGGAAAAAATATCTTTTTTTTTAAATGATCATTTCAGTGCAGCAGAGAAATGAATACCCTACAGCATGTTTTCTGTACATTTCACTACTGTGATCAATGGTCTCTCTCTACAGTTTATTGATTACGCCATTTAGTAATGAAAAGATGAGCACATTTTCAGGTTAACATAGGCAGTCCAATTTAGCATCACAGGAATGTCAACAGGAATCTACTAAGATAGTTATCAGGGTATTGTTTTGTGAACAAAAATCTCATGTTTCTATCTACCAGAATAGAAATGTCTGGAAATACTTACTTATCTAACCTTCAAATTTACAGGCATGAAGAGAAGAAATATTTTGTTTATGGATGTGGGATCTATGCAGAGAGCATTTTTATGAATATGCATAGTAAAGACCTGTAGAATGGAAATGTGTGCTGAATCACATTGTAGGGATTAGCAAATCAATAGTTATCCTGGATCACAGTGATTCTTCTTATATGAGTAGCCACACATTTTTGGTAGTTTGTATTGTTGATTTCTGGTGCCTTTACCCATGTTGTCTTGTCTGCCCTCTCATCATTCTCTGTACCTGCTTGTTTTTTTTTACAGCCAACTTAATATATGAATATATAAAATTTTTATGTGTATTCCAACGAACAGGTAACACTGACTCCGCTGGGGCGACAATGCACAGGTGACACTGACTCCGCTGGGGTGACACCGCACAGGTAACACTGACTCCGCTGGGGTGACACCGCACAGGTGACACTGACTCTGCTGGAGTGACAACACACAGGTGACACTGACTCTGCTGGGGTGACACCACACAGGTAACATTGACTCAGCTGGGGCGACAATGCACAGGTGACACTGACTCTGCTGGGACGACAACGCACAGGTGACACTGACTCCGCTGGGGTGACAACGCACAGGTGACACTGACTCTGCTGGGACGACAACGCACAGGTGACACTGACTCCGCTGGAGTTACAACACACAGGCGACACTGACTCCCCTAGGGTGACAACGCATAGGCGACACTGACTCTGTTGGGGTGACAGCGCACAGGTGACACTGACTCTGCTGGGGTGACAACACACCGGCGACACTGACACCGCTGGGGTGACACCGCACAGGTAACATTGACCCTGCTGGGGTGACACCGCACAGGTAACACTGACCCCTGCTGTCCTATGCCAACCCCCCCTCCAGTGTTGGGCCCTGTTTAGTGTCGGGCATGGCTGCTGTCCTTTGCGCAACCCCTCGCCCCTAGTCAGCCTTGGGCACCTGCTGCTGACCTCTGCAAAGACCCCCCCCCAGCGTCGGGCCCCTATTCTGCCTTGTGTACCAGCTGCTGTCCTCTGCAAATGTTGCCCCCCAGCCCAGCATCAGGCACCAAGCTGCTGCTGCTGTACCCCCAACACACCCCTAGGAAGCTTTAAAACACTTACCTTTCCTACTGCAGCAGCTCTGCTCCCTTCTTATTCTTCAGTGCTTCAGTCAGCTAAAAAATAAGCCCCGCCTCCTGAAAACCTTCCTGCACGCACACAGGAAGGTACCAATTGTGCGGGGGGTGGAGGACCGTACCAACTGTACATATTATAGCATAAACTCCTTGGTTGGAGCCCAGGCCCCCCAAGCTGCTGGGGCCCTTTACTTGAGTACTAACCATATCCCCGGTGGCGGCCCTGTCTACTTATAAACAATTCACATTCTTGTTCTATTTTCTTAATATGTCAAATTTATTTTTAAATTCCATCTTGTAATACCACATTATGGCCACTATATGGAGCTGAGGAGTATAGGAAATAAGTATTTTGATTGGCCATAATACGGTATTGTACAGTATTGTTTAAGAAGCGTGGCAGAATGGCTAAAACAGCATGCTGCTTTGTTAGGGATTCTGTACACCGATGGTTCTTCACTCATCAGCTATATTTCCAAACATGATATTATGGAATTTTAACAGTCAATGTATAGTAAAAACCTGTTGCTAAGTTAAAATTATCATTTATCTTCTGATATACATTTGTGTGCATGCTAACCTTCCTCTTGTTCTCTACAGGAGATCGATGGCAATGCCCTGCTGTTGCTGAGGAGTGACATGGTTATGAAGTACTTGGGACTAAAACTGGGGCCTGCTCTGAAGCTTTGCTACCATATTGATAAGCTGAAGCAAACAAAGTTCTAAAGTTCAGACATTTAAACAGAACTTTAACACACAAGAGTCGTAACATGTTGCCTTATCCAAAGGCCATTCTAACACCTCCTTTTTATTTTTTCACAGGCTTGTGTTTTACAAATGGTTGTGTAAATTTCATATCTTTATTACTGAAAAAGGTATTCAGTACAATTCATTCCTCTGAACATGTTGGATATTACTAGAGATGGCTGTTCTTCTTCTTTCTCTGATTGAAAAAACAAGCAAGTGATCACAAACAATAATTCTGCACTATTTATACGATAGGGGCTGTGAGATTAGACCTAGATGCAACATCCAATCAAGAATTGCCATATGAACTTAATTTCTTGAAAACAAGAGGTATTACTTTTGTTATTTAATAATCCCTTTTGATCATACAACTTGGCTGCTACACAAATCATTTTTATATAGAGAAAACACATTATAAATGCTTGTTAGCTTGCCTTTATCATGCATTTAAACCCAGAAATTAACTTAGCCAATAGATGGAGGAAAATGTTTTCCTGAAGTGGTTCATTTTATTGGCTAACTGACTAGATGTGTATTACAAGCAGAGGAGTATCTACTGCAAGGCAAACTAGGCATTTGCCTTGGGCGGCACTTTTCAGGGGGGTGGAAAAAACCGCCCAGAAAGGCGAAACTGCCTTCTGTCCACCCAGGCACAATGAGGTCAATGTTCAGAGGTTCCTGCAGGTCTGTAACCGATCCAACTTCTTCTTACTCTCCTCTTCCTGCCTCTATCATCTGTGTGGCCCCTGACATGGATGAAAGGCCTGTCTGTGCTCTGATGGCTCCAAGTGTAAATCATTACACCTGCAACAGGGCCCTGCCTGGCACTCCTTGCCACATCAGGCAGACTGGTATGATAGCATGGCATTGGTGCAGCTGCTTGTGTCACCCACTGCCATGGCATGGCTGCATGGATATTTGGATGTCAATGTACATACTGACATTACATACAGCCAATGATCCATTAGTCATACAATCACCAGGTATGTTCTGGCTATACAAAAGTGCAAGGGATGTGCATACAACTGAAAGGACATGGAGCAACATCACACAGCAAAGGCCATCCAGAGAGAATGGGATTCAATAATCTCAACTGTAGTGTCATAGATCTCCAGATCTCTTCAATTCATGTACTGCAGATCAAGGGACACTATGAGGTCCATTCACAGCCAAGGTGAATTATGCAGTCACAACAGGCAGTTGAATTGGTGCTTCCTCTGGTCATATCTGCTGTCTGCCATTTCTGGTACTTTTTATGGCATGCTGCTTTTCAATGTCTGACTATAGAATAAGGGCACAGTCAGAGACTAATAGCGCAACCTGTCAAAAGCTGGATGCAGCTGTGCACTGTATCCAGCGACTGACAGGTTATGCAAAATGTCTTAAACATGTGTGGTATTTTGTTTGAATACTGCCAACTCTAATGAAGGATTAATTGAAAATTATGGGGTGAGTAAAAAACCAACCTGTGACAAAGAAGCTGCCACAGGTCTGCTCTATTGACCGGTAAATGAGCGAAAACATACCGCCGAACCGCTCATTTCCCAATCATCTTCCTGCAGCGAGCGGTGACTATCAGTCACCACTACCCACAGGGATTCCCCCCTCCCCTCTTTGATCCTCCAGCGCTTAGTGGAGGAACTGACAGGGGAGGGAGCGGCCACAGCTGGCTCTGCCTCTAGAGAGGCAGAGCCCGCTGTCACTCACGCAGCTGGGTGGATCTCGACCGCAAGAGCTCGCTATATATTGAGTTTGGGTCACTGGAGGACACCGTATATGTCCTCCGGTGACCCTAAGGAGAACTGTGGGCAAAAAAGATTGCCCCATAGTTCTCCTTTAAGTGGGTGCCAATGTCATTGCTTGGAGCCATTACCAGTCCCATACAACTATAGACAGCCTATTCCCCCCAAGAAAGTGGCATTCATTAAGTGTTATTCCAATACCAGGATCACTGGGACATCCTAGTAGCATGTTTCCTTTAGAAAATACTGAAACGGGTTCCTTTCAGCACTAGTCACACAACCAAAAGCCTAGGCATTTGGTCACATGATCTCTGCTGAAGCTGAGGATCAGCCAGCCTGAATTCTGATTCTCCCATTTAGCAAAGATCCTGTGACCTAACACTGGAGGGAGGCTGGAGCAGTGTATTTTCCAGGTAAGGTAGGTATTTCGGCCCTTCTTGTACACTGTACACTGTTAACATTACGTTACTTAATGCTAACAGTTGCTTTAATGTCTCTTTCAAGCCCTAGTCTAAGAATCCTTTATGAAAATAAAGTGCATACAAATGAAGATGATATAGCTTTCTGTTATGTGTGCAAATCGGTCACCATTTTTTTTTTTTAGAATGTCTTTATGATCAGTGTCATTTTGTAATGCCTTTTGAATTCTTTAAATAAGAAGCTGTAAAAATAGATTGATTACATATTTTGAAATATGCAGTCAACAAGGTGCTTTGAAGCTACATCCTTTGATGTTCCTAAATATATTCGATTTCCGAATACTTGACAATGACTGCCATCTATCTGACACATACTGTAAAATGAAGAGTAGGGTGCTCTTTTTAAAATGAAATGCCTAACCTGAATGCTACCCCAATCAGAAGGTTCATTTAATGTATTATTTACTTTATACTTTCTTTGAAATGTAGCTTTTAATTTATGCATTTATGTTATCAGCCATCAACATTTTGCAATTTACAGTTCATTTGCAGCATTATATTGTTCACAATGTACACTGGGAATTACTTTTTTCAAATGTGTCAGTGAAGGTTCTCATTCATTCAGGTCATGTTATATCTGTAAAAAATAAGTCAAGGCAACTGGATTTGCTGTATTTTTCTTGAAGACGTTTCGCTGGTCATCCAACCAATGCTTTTTTAACACCTCTCTCTGGGCAGGTTAATAACACCTCCTAGCTCCAATTATGCAAATGCAATCAACACATGGTTGCGACTAACAGATTATGTGGATTGGAGCAACATTCACCATATTTATTCCCAGATAATTTTTGTACAAGTCATTCTGAATTGAGTAAGCTGGTTGGATGGCCAGTGAAACATCGTCAAGAAAAATACGGCAAGTCCAGTTGCCTTGACTTATTTTTTTACAGATTTTTTCAAATGTGAACCCCCTTACTCTATCATATTGCAGCTATATACTTGAAAAATTGTATTATACAGAGGTTTTCTTTGTACAGGTGACAATGTTTTTTCCAGGAAGAATGTGCATTTTTCATGTTAGTAATGTCTACCAATTAAAAGGGAAACATTAGGGAAAGAAACGTTACCACGACGTGGTTGTATTGTATTGACCTGCCCAGAGGCACACACCGCATACATGACAATGTTACTAATTGGTTCTACAGCACATGCCGCTTACTGACAATTCATGTGACATAAAGACATGGCACCATTCGTAAAGTAGCATTGCTTCATGATTGGTGATGAGCAAGTAATTTTCAAGACCTCTGTAAAACACACAACATTTTAAGCTCTTTTAAATAAAACCTTCATCAGTGTATATTGAATGAGGACCCAGAAGGCTACACTTCCTAACATAGTTTAGCATCTGAACACTGCAAATGTTTTTATGACCCTTTCTCTGGGAAAATGTTATAAGCTGCAGTTATTACTACAATAATATTACTATAATATTAGCAAAGTGATATAAGCTTTTTCTGGAATTAAGTAGGTGTGGCCCCAGTAGATATAACGTTTCCCTTTATTTATTCCACTCAATCCAGTCCACTTTTGGACTTGCTTGACCTCTTGTAAAGGAACCATTTATTCTACCTGTTTAGTGATCATTTGCTACAGCTAATAGTGATTAATCACTAGCAATTTTAAAAGCAGGTTTGAGATACTCAAATTCTGTTGTGTAGCCCTAGCCTATTTGAGTAATTTTCAGTAATTGGTTAAATCTCTTAGCAGCAAGAGAATACGTTTGTACATATAGCTTAGCCCTTAACGAAGCTAATGCAGTTACAAATATGGTAGTAGTTATGAAGATACTACCTACATTTTTTTTTCTTCAATTAACAACCAGGGGACACAAGGGGATTATTTATTGAGGCAGAATAAAGTGCAACTCATAGCATTAAGTGAGCCTTTAGTTTACTGTACTCGTCAATTAAGAAGAGATTTCTGATTGGTTGCTAAAGGTTAACCAGTTGACATCCGCGGTGTTAAACCCCCTTCCCATCCAGGCCATTTTTCAGTATTCAGCGCTGCGGTACTTTAACTGACATTTATTCCGTCATGCAGCGCTGTACTGAAATGAATTTTATACCCTTTTTTGGGGACAGATAGAGCTTTCTTTTGGTGGTATTTATTCACCACTGGGGGTTTTATTTTTTTACTATATTAATGAAAATTTACCGAACTGCGCGCGAGCAGAAAAAAATTGCCGTCTGGAGACGGCAACCCGCAGATGTAGCAGTGCCGTCCGTCTGTTTTTTTACTACGGGCGGACGGCAAGAGGTTAATGCACTCGGTATGTCTTCAGTTCTTTTTTTCAATGCTTTGTTGAATACATACCCAACATGTGTTAGGTCCTATCAGAGCACAGGTTGCCAAACAGCGCCCTCTACTGTGGAATAAAATGGCTACACTCACTGTGACCGGCCTTAGGAATCTTGTACTAGCATTTCTACTTCTATTATTACTATATTTACTATTATTACTACATTTCTATCATTGTTATTAAAATAAGCTATAGACACTCCCCTAGAGCACTTTTATTTGTCATTGTTCTAACGGAATCTAAAAACATGCATCCATTATGTATAAGGTTAGCAGAACATTGTGTGTTTTATATCAGAAAACTATGTGGGCACCTAAGACAGTACAGCCAAAGGGGAAGCACAATAACTATGTAGCAGTATAAACCTCTTCGATTCATGTTGCCTTGACTAATCAGATATATATTGCACTTAAATTAAGAATGACATTCTCATCAGTGGATGAACATATCTGTTAGCGAAGCAACTCGTGCATTGGTCAGGAGTTGAAGATGTGTGAAGTCTCTTTAAAAGCCCAAGTTTTTTTGTTAAGGCTATTCGATACATTGACCAATAGTCCTGAAGAAGGGGACTCTAGTGTGTGAAATGTGTTGACACATATTCCCCAAAAATGCTCCAATGGCAAACATAAAGTCTAAAACTATGAACACTCTGTTGGAGAAATATACAGGAAGTGGCAGTGTAATACACATGTGGTTGTCGAATGATGAAAAGTTTGTAAAAAGGACACCGCTCATATTCGTATGCCCAAACTCATCAGTCCCATTCAAAAAGCCGGGTACCAGCCATCAGAGGCACGCCACGGCTGTCACTAGTAATCCAATGTAGGTAAAGCCGCACTCGACTGCC